AGAAAACCATGGAGTAACAGGTGCAGAATTTGGAGGGGATAGAACTGTTCCCTAAAAATGTTGTACTATAATTTTATATTGATTGCCTGTCTTGGGTAAAATCAATAGTAAAACATGCTTAGATTCACAAAACTATTCTCCTACCCTGAAAAAATTATCTTAAAAAATATCTGACCAACAACAACAAAAAATAGATAACATTTTAGAAGCAAAAAATAAGAAAACTGCAGTCTACAAGAATTTGGGGGTTCCAGATGGATTCAGTGTTGGCCACTAGTGTCTGGATCTTCAGGTGAGCCAGGTGGGACTGGCCTTGGCCCAGCTCTGCAGTTTTGCCTCTTTCTTAGCATTGAAACATGAGCTTGTGAGCCACAGTGAACACCCCACAGCTATCTCTCTGTCAAGATCCATCTCCCTTAAATGGACAATTATCCAAGTACTCTTCCAGGATTTGTTTATGTTGACCAACTCACATGTGGGGACGTTAAGTGATTTATTATTTTAAAAAGTAAGTTTCCCCCTTTAAACCAGAACACCAAGTATTGACCAGATTAAAAGCCATGTTTAATCCCAGGTGTAGACAGAAGATAAAGTAGGATAAGTGTGTATGAGAATTTGTTTATACCAATTGTTACCCATTCTTTAAACCTTTCTCAGATGTAGAGAAATTATAAGACCAAAAGGTTCATGAACTAAGGACCCAAAGATAGAGTGACTATAAAGTAAGGAAAAAGAAAAACAAGTACATTTATCACCAGCATCCTTAAATATAGTGTGTGTGTGGGGGGGAATCTTTCCAAACCTGCAATAAAATCTATTTAAATTATTTGACTGACACATCTGGCCACATTGGAGGAGTGTGAGCCTCTTAGCAAAATAGTTCAGTGAAATCCTGGGGAATGGACTTTAAAGCACAAAAGTGGTCATGATCTCACAGAGTACATTTTAAAAGCTTCAAATTTAATAATGGATTTTTTATGACTAAAAAAAAAGAGGTATAAATAGAGGAGAATAGAAACTGTGTCTTAAAGAAAAAGATGCTTATTACATTTTCCTTACCATAACAGAACTGAGGCATCCTCTTCTTTACTATTTACCTTTTCCCTTTCTTTAAAATGTATAAATTAAACAGTGACTCAAATTTAAATTATGTTTTTACATTTTTTCCTTTAAATGAATTCAATCTTTTTTATCATTAAATCACAAAAGTAATATGTACTTGGGCAAAAAATAATACTAATACCCAGAGTCTCAACACTTAATTATAACCACTACTACAAAATTTTGTGTGTATTCTTAAATCAGTGTAATAACATTGTGCACTCATAATTATTATATGGGGCTGGGGATATATATATCAGTTGGTAGAGTGCTTAGCATAATTATGATATGTACTATTTTGGTAACTTTTTAAAAATATAGCTAAAACATAGTAATTGAAAAAAGTCTTAAAAATGCTAATGAATTTTTTAAAGATATCATCTTCTAGAATTCTAGCACCCACAGAGATGGCCACTATTTACATCTTGGCATATTCTCTATGTCTCTTTTACTCCTATATAGTCCTCCCTTAGTATATGTGAAATTGGTTTCAGGATTCCCCACCCCCAACAGGTACAAAAATCCATGATGCCCTAGACCCTTGCATAGAATGGCATAGTATTTCCATAAACTTAAATTCTCCTGAATATTTTAAATCATCTCTAAATTATTTATAATACCCAATATCAATGTAAAAGCAATGTGAATAGTTGTTCCATTATAGTATGTTATAACATTTAGGGAATAATGGCATGTGAAAAAAGTGTATACATGTGTGACACTTTTTTCCCAGATATTTTTAATCAAAGTTTGATTGAATCCCTAGGTATGGAATGCACAGTACAGAAGGCTAACTTTTTGTTTGGTGAAATGTCACATATCCTGATTTCTTTTTTTATTTGTCTTAATTAGTTATACATGACATCACAACTTCTAAACAAAGATAACAAAAGAGCATCATTAACAGGGACCTACAATGAAAATGTATTTATTTATAAATATCCAGGTAGATAAATATCTGGAAATAGAGACATCCCCAAGGGGCTTTTAAGTACATAGGAAGTTTACACAGATAGTAATTTAGAACTGAAAAATGAAGAAACCACAATCTCAAGAAATTTATTCATTGTGGTTCATAAGATGTTGAGGTTAAATGTTTTCTGCTATCAAGTCATTCAATCTTTGGAGCACAGGATGGGGATGGGAGGAAAGCAGAGGAGAAGATATATGATCTACTGGTGTCCCTTGTATATTCTTTATTCAGCAGAGTAGCAGATAAGAAACTGTTTGGAAAAAGGAATCAGTTTAGGAAACCTTTCTCTGGTAAATGAGATAAGAAAGTTAATGATAACTGATCACAGAAAGGTAGGTTAGATAACAAATTCAGATTGTACATGATCTTATAATCATGAACACATAGGCAAAACAATGTCTAATGTGATTTGCTTGAACTGTCTCCAGAGCCAAGATATCTCATCAGTGGCTTACTTGAACATAAGGTGATGCTAGACACTTGGGGAATGAATCATTTACACCCATGCTTGTCTACTCTGGCAAACAGACATGGGCAGAATTCGGTGAGAGAGGAGAGAGCTCTCTGAAACAATTCCAGTTTTCAGTACTGCCTTGTTTGAATAGGTTTTTTTTTCTCTCAAATAAACAGTATTGCATTTATTTTGTCTAAAGCAATAATTTAAGACAAGGGAGCAAAGGCAATGGCTCTGTTCTCTATGTCTGCTGGCAGAACAAACCAACATACCCAGGCTCCAGAAAAGGTTATGGGTTGTAAATGTGAATTTTCCAGTGATGCTATAAAACAATGTCAGAATTGTTCGATTACTAAGAGACAGAAGATAACTCCCTTCTTCTTCCTGTTGAGGTAGAAGTTCAGCCTTCCAGTTTCAAAATCAAAGTACTGTGTCTACCTCGATGGACCCAAAACCTTGACTTCTTCCCTGGTGGCATTTGTCGTAGGATGTCTAAGAAGTGTTTCCCAACCCTTTTATAAAGACAAGATGAGAGGTTTTATACTCCAGATATAATAAAAAGACAACTCTGTGCCAGCAGTTGTTGTCTAAACAAGCAATGCTGATGACATTTGTTATGGTTTAGGTATGAGGCATCCCCCAAAGCATCTGGGTTAATGCAGGATTATTCAGAAGTGAAATGACTAGATTGTGAGAATTGCAATCTAATAAATTCATCTAATTTGAATGGACTGGGTGAAAATTGTAGGTTGGAGGGGCATGACTGGAAGACATAGGTTACCATGGGAAAGCTCTGAAAGGGTTCATTGCCCCCAAAGCACCTTCTTCTTTCTCTCTCTGCTTCCTGGCCTCCATGAACAGAGCAGTACTTCTCTGTCAGGCCCTTCAGCAATGATGTGCTGCCTCACCTTGCACCAAGAGCAATTGACTCCACTCACCATGGACTGAACCTCTGAAACCTAGAGCCTAAATAAACTTTTCCTCCTCTAAGTTGTTTTTGTCAGGTGTTTTGGTCACAGCACTAAAAACTAACACAACATTCAGGATATACTATTTAAGCCTCCAAGTTATAACATAATTGGCCAGAAAGACCATATAAAAACACTTGACTATGTTGGAAAAGATTTTGCTCTGTGTGTGTGTGTGTGTGTGTGTGTGTGTGTGTGTAAATAGTTTAATATTGATTACTATTAATAGAGAATGATATCCAAAAACATGTATCATAGTCTGGAGTGTAAAGGAATGCTATCGTTTTCAAATAGGAAATGTTTGCTATTTGTCTAAATAATTAATTTGGTTAATTACTTATTTGGGAATATAGTTAGAGAGTAGAGTTGATAAAGAGATTAAATGATGCCAGATAGAGTTACAGACATTAAAAGAGAGAAATACATTATTTTTCATATGGAAATGTATTTCTTTAATAATTAAAAAATGAAACCTTAATATAAATTTATTTTTACTTATTATTTTTTTTAAACTTACTCTGTATGGCAACAAAAAAGTTTAATACAAAATTGACTGATAAGAAATAATTTAAATTATATTTTCATGGATATTGGTAATGGAAAAAATGGCAGAAAGTTGAGGAAAAAACAGTGCAGAATATATAGTAGCTTCTAGTCAAGAGGTATTGAATATTCTGGAACTGCAGAGAATAAGCAGGGAGAAGACTAAAGTTTCCAAAAACACCAGCTTAATCTTGATAGTATGAAGATAAAATAAAGCACTTTATGCTTTCTAAATTTCCATATATCTTTTGGGATCGGCTTTTGACCATTTAGAAGGTAGAGATAACACAATTTGTACTGACTGAAGTTGAATAGATCTCCTGATTCATAATGTGCAAAAAAGGAGCAAAATGAAGGCAAATCCAATATCCTTTCAAAAGACTGAACTTTCACACGACCCTTCCCCAGACAAGTGGGTCAAGGCTGAAGGTTCACAAAACAGTGCGTCATTCAGTGAATGGAGAGATTCACAGGTGCAAAGAAAACCCATCTCAGAATGGGAAGATTTGGTTTTACTAGTATTTCCACGGAACCAAGGCACATAAGAATAGTTCACTTTTCCTTTTGTCTACAAACCCGAATAGTTAATGTAGGCCATCATTGTCCTCCTTTCATGGTGCACTCTCCTGAGAAAGGGTTTCCTTTCCTACTACAGCATTTGGCTGCCCTTCTATCCCTATCATGTTCCCCAACCAAACAATTAAGATGTACCAGTCTTGTAGGGAATACACTTTTAAAAAAATGAATTTTATTTCTAAATTGAAAGTATTTCTAAAAGTTCCTTTCTGAGGAAATTTTTTAAAATTTATTTTTAGTGATTTTTAACTTCTATTCATGAATCAAATCTTAGTTAAAACTAAAGTGACCAGTACAAACTCTTTACTACATTATTAGTATTTCAAAAGAGAATTCACAGTTTACAAGCAAGAGAAAAAGGAAAATGAAATACTGTGGAAATTACCTCATCTGATCCTTTCTTTCCTCCTGGTTTGGAAGGTGATCCACTGGTTTTTTCATTGACATGCTATAACAATATTAAAGAAAAAAAAAGATATGTTTAAGAGAGGAAGGTGATAGAAGATAATAGTGTCTTTAATTCAGAAATGCTAAATGAATAGACTTTAAATACAGTACCCTTTAATCTCCCTCCAGAGAATATTAGTAATACACAAACATAGGGAGGCTTTTGAAATAGAAGGGATGATAGGGACATTCATGTGGGATCTAGAAAGTGAGTCTGTAATTAGCCAGATGCAGAGCTGATGGTGATGCCAATGCGGCATCTCGTCTCCTACAAATGCCTCATGGATTTTTAAAGCCCAAATTGCTACTGCAGGAGACGTCTAGTTCATCATGGAGATGAGATCTCTAAGAGCCATCTTGTGTCTGAAGCCATACTTAAGCCTCAGTTCATATGGACACAAGCGTCCACCACAGCCTTCCAATCACCCACCACTTCCAACAGATCATGTGAATTCCCTTGAGTTCCTCCATTTGAATATCCACCAAGGCAGAATGACAAAACCTGAAGAGGAAAGACCATACGTGCAACTTGGATTTGTTATGGCTTTAGAATTTCATTGTGTCTAGAAATAGATATATATATTTTTAAAACTAGGACATTAGGGATGAATATAAGTCTTTTTATGTGGAACTCAAAGCTTCATGAATCTCACATGTTCATTTGTTTTAGTGATAATATAAGCCACAGAGTTTATTAAACATTTTTGAGAAATGAAAAACATTTGCAAGGCATGCAAAGAATTATTTCATTTCTTTTACACTGTGAGGAATGCAAGGCAGATAAAAGGGTCCCAAATATGAGAAATAAAAGCTCACTATTGCATTCAATCCTGATCACCTTCAGTTAAAACAAAATATAAAATAATAATATATTCCCTAGAGCAGAATCACTCAGGACTATGGAGAAGGAACTTATTTAAATTAAGTGTGACAAGAATAGTAATAATAATAATATATATAATTCTACATTATTTACCATGCATTTTCATATACATATTTGATACAAAATGGGTCATATTGTTTTAGGAATGAGAAAAGTAAGAAAAACAGCAGTTTGATATTTTTCAGAAGGACACATTTCTAGCAAATGTAAAAAGGTCACAAAACAAGGATTTTTTTAAAGTTAAAATCTGTTGTTTGCACACTACTATGCTAAATGGGATTGGATTATAATATTTTTAATCATATCAACAGATATGCTAGTTTAAAAATATGCCCAAGGACACCAGAACACACGGCTAAAATTCTTCCTTAATAGTTCTTTGTATGAACAACTAGTAATGAATCATTTTGATGGGTGAAAATCTTCCACAAAAAAAATCCTCATTGGTCTGGGGATGTGGCTCAAGTGGTAGTGCGCTCGTCTAGCATGCGTGAGGCACTGGGTTCRATTCTCAGCACCACATAAAAATAAAATAAAGATATTTAAAAAATAAAAAAAAAGAAATCCTCATGGATCAGTGAATGAAATCCACTCAAAAGAGAACCCATCTCAAATGATACTAGTAATAACAGTATTAACAAAACTAAAAGCCCACATAGATACCTAAGGTAGATGGTAAGTGGCAAGTATTAGAAAAATTAGTAAGAATGATTTGTAAAGGTCAGGCTGGGGGTTGAGGTGGACAATACTTATGTAGGTTAAATCAGGAAGCCATTAGCATAAGGTTGCCTCTGCAGCCAGGTTCCCTACATAAGGCAATAGAAACTGAATTAGGAAGCATTTCTTATAATCAACTTAAAAAGCCTCAGCCAATTACATCCAGTCAATCAAATATTAAAACAATAACAACAACAACAACAACCAAAAAAAACAACCTAGGGACAAATGTCTAGCTGTAGCCAACAAGTAATTTCTTTATTTCTCTCTTTGGCCTATACAAGCTCACTCCTCATGCTGCTGGAACAGAACTATCTGAAACTTTTCTGGGTTTGAGAAATACCCAATTCCTGAACTGCTTTATTGCTCAAATAAACTCTGTTAATGAATTACAGTAGATGGGGTAGAGAGAGAAGATGTGAGGGAAGGGGAGGGGGGATAGTAGGGGATAGGAAAGATAGCAGAATACAACAGTTACTAATAGGGCATTATGTAAAATTGTGGATGTGTAACCGACGTGATTCTGCAATCTGCATTTGGGGTAAAAATTGGGAGTTCATAACCCACTTCAATCTAATGTATGAAATATGATATGTCAAGAGCTTTGTAATGTTGTGAACAACCAATAAAAAAATTCTAAAAATTAATTAATTAATTAATTAATGCTTTACAGATAAAAAAAGTTTATTTTGTCTGAAGTTTTTCTTTTACCATCTCTACAAGAATTACTCTTTTTTTTTGATTGATAAGGACAAATCTACCAAGAGATTTACCAAATCTGTCTCCTTCCAAAACTAGTAATTTTAGAACCTGATATCACATTCATTATCTATATTTCCATATCTCTTTCAGATTAGATAAAGTAACAACAATATCCACTGTTTTACTGTCTGTTTACCGATTCAAGTGCCTTATCTACTTGTCAGGAGTTGTTACTATTTCATTCTACAAATGAGAAAACATAAAAAGCCAACTCGCTTTTATCCAGTGCAAGATCCTATGTTCTCTACACAGTCCTCCTCAGATTCCTGCTTTGTGGCAAATGTATATCATGATTTACTGCCTTCCAGTGAGTGTACATATAGCATTTTCTCTTTTAAATTTAAAATTACTAGTAAATTAAAGTTACTAGTTTCTTTCAAACAGACAAGTTTGGCACAGTATATCAAATCTGTGTTATACAATAAAGTCTACTTGCTTGTTTTCTGATTAAATAAACACAACAAGTTGGCAAACAAAAAATAAAAATAAAATATAAGCATATAGATGATTTATTAAAAGATTAAAAAAATGTTTCCCATATGGTGCTTCAATGTAATTCCATTATAGTCCTCTTGATTAACCAACATCATTCATTACTCTTCTCCAATGAAGTGCTCAAAATCCTCCAAATCTTTTAGGTTTTAAGTAATGGTTTGGGAGGGTTGTATGTAATGAATGTTTTTATAAAATCCTGAGTTATAATGAAAACTTAAAAATGTATTGTAAGCATGGCACTTTATGATTTCAAAGGTTTATTTCCTTTTAATAAATGTAACTTCCGTTTTCATTTTTATTTGTTGTTTTTATATATACATGACAGTAGGGTGTGTTTTGACATATTATACATACATCAGGTATAACTCATTACAATTTTTATACCATTTTTGTGGCTGAACACCATGTGGAGTTACACTGGTCGTGTATTCATATATGAGCATAGGAAAGTTATGTCTGATTCATTCCACTGTATTTCCACAGTCCCATCCTTCCTCCCTTCCCTTCACCCCCCTTTGTCTAATCCAATGATCTTCTATACTTCTCCTCCTTACCCTACCTTGTTATGGGTTAGCATCCATACATCACAGAGAACATTCAGCCTTTGGGTTTTTGGAACTGGTTATTTCACTTAGCATGATAGTCTCCAGTTCCATCCATTTATTGGCAAATGATATAATTTCATTCTTCTTTACAGCTGAGTAATATTCTGTTGTGTATATATACATCACATTTTTTATTGGTTTTATTTTTTAAATACATGACAGCGGAATGCATCACAATTCTTATTACCATATAGAACAATTTTTCATACCTCTGTTTGTATATAAATTCCCAGACATCAATTCATGTCTTCATACAAGTACTTTGGATAATGATGTCTATCACATTCCACCATCCTTGCTGCCCCCTCCCTTTCCCTCCCACCCCTCTTCCCTATCTAGAATAAATCTATTCCTCCCATGCTCTCCCTCCCTACCCCACTATGAGTCAGCCTCCTTATATCAGAGAAAACATTCAGCATTTGGTTTTTGGGGATTGGCTAACTTCACTTAGTATTATCTTCTTCAATACCATCCATTTACCTGCAAATGCCATGATTTTATTCTCTTTTATTGCTGAGTAAAATTCCATTGTATATATATGCCACATTTTTTAATCCATTCATCCACTGAAAGGCATCTAGGTTGACTCCACAGTTTGGCTATTGTGAACTGTGCTGCTATAAACATTGATGTGGCTGTGTCCCTGTAGTATGCTGTTTTTAAGTCCTTTGGGTATAGTCCAAGGAGAGGGATAGCTGGGTCAAATGGTGATTCCATTCCCAGATTTCCAAGGAATCTCCATACTGCTTTCCATATTGGCTGTACCAATTTTTAGTCCCACCAGCAATATGAGTGTGCCTTTTCCCCCACATCCTCATCAACACTTACTGTTGTTTGTATGCATAATAGCTGCCATTCTGACTGGAGTGATTTGCATTTAGAGTAGTTTTGATTTGCATTTCTCTAATTGCTAGAGATGATGAACATTTTTTCATATATTTGTTGACTGATTGAATATCCTCTTGAGAAGTGTCTGTTCATGTCCTTGGCCCATTATTGATTGGGTTATTCTTTTTTGTGTGTGTGTGTTTAGCTTTTTGAGTTCTTTATATTCCCTAGAGATTAGTGCTCTATCTGATGTGTGGGGGGTAAAAATTTGCTCCCAAGATGTAGGCTCTCTATTCACCTCACAGATTGTTTCTTTTGCTGAGAAGAAACTTTTTAGTTTGAGTCAATCCCATTTATTGATTCTTGGTTTTAATTCTTGCACTATAGGAGTCCTATTCCATTCATCTGCTAAAGGACACTTATGTTGGTTCCATGGTATTGTGAATTCAGCTACTGTAAACATTGATGTAGCTGCATTTCTGTAGTATGCTGATTTTAAGTCCTTTGGGTATATTCCAAGGAGTGGGATAACTAGGTTAAATAGTGGTCCCATTCCAAGTTTTCTGAGGAATCTCCATACTGCTTTCCAGAGTGGTTGCACCAATTTGCAGTCCCACCAGCAACATATGAGTGAACATTTTACCCCACATCCTCGCCAACATTTATTGTTACTTGTATTTTTCATAATTGCCACTCTGACTGCAGTGAAAT